GTTCCGCGGGAGGGGGCAGCAGGGGGGGCCGAGGCTGCCCCGCTCCCAAACCCTCCTTCCCTGCTCACGTCGGGTGAAGAGTTAACCTCAAGCGCAGTGTTAAACCTCACCAGACCACAGGAAATACCGCACCGGAGGCGATGGGACCAGAATTTTTGCTCCCCTCCCGGGACAGGGAAGCCCCTTCCTCTGCCGGTGGCTGCTCCACAGCAATTATTTTTGAGGGGGGGGAAAGGGAAAGGGGGGTGAAAGCAAGAGCATCACAGCCTGGGGGAGGGGGACAGGGGAGGCCTCCCTGGGTTCCTGCTCAGTAACCTACATATGGGAACAGTCCCATATATAACACATCTGTGTATGGTTACACACCGGGGAGGGGGGCTTGGGGGGAATGGAAGTTTTGGGGTGTCTTCAATGCCCTGTGTAGTGGAGCATTTGTATTAATAGATGAAAAAGCGTTTTCAGGGGGGTCTTGTGGGGCGAGTGGGTTTTTCTGCTGCTTGTGGGGGGTGCTGGGGTGGAGGGGACCCAGTCCCAGTGGGGGGGCTGAACCCCAAGGAGGGTCCCACCGGGGTTGCAGCCTCTGGGCTGGGGTCACTTGTCCCTGTCCCCCCTTCAGGGCTTCCTCCTGCACCCCAGGCTGCTTGAGACACATCCCACCCTGGCACCCTCCTCCCCCAGCAGCACCCATGTTTGGGGACACCTGCCAGCCCTGAATCCAAGCAGCCACGAGCACGGCTGGGGGGGCACAGGGGCCACCCCCCCCTCCTCCTCGGTTCTAACGTTGCTTTTGGTCACGTTTCACATCTGGCAGAAACTTCCTTGCTGGATGCCAGACGTGCCCTGCCCTGCCCCCTGCACCAGCTCCAGGGTCCCCACTGGGTCCTGCCCACCTCCTCTGTGCCACCCACCTCCTCCTGCCCCGTCCCCTGGGGGTCTCTGACACCCCTGGGGATGGACACGCTGCCCCAGAGCCATCACCAGTTTGGGGAGGAAACCGTTGCTGAGCTGGTGGCCAAGTGAGATGGCAGATGAGTGTTAACGGTTGTTATCTCTGGCGGGCTCCCTGCTGGCCAGGGACACTCGTCTCTGCCTTGGGCAGGAAGGAAAGGTTGGGCCAGAACTGGTTCTGCTGCCCCAAGCCAAGGGCTTGTGTCGTACCCAGAGTTGTGCTTGGCACGGGGGACACGGGGGACAAGAGAGACACGGGGGGGGGCATGGAGAATAAAGGGGATAAGGGGGACATTAGGGGCATGGGGTCCTGTGGCAGGCACCGGGGATGTCCCCTTCTCCCCGTGTCACCTTCTGCCAACCAAACCCCTTCCCCAAGTGACGTGACTTTACACCCACCGTGGTGGCATCTGTGCAGCAGCAGCACCCACGGGTGCTTCCCCACGAGCCTGCAGGGGTCTGCAGGGGTCTGCAGGGCTGTGTCCATCACCACGGGGTCACCGGGAAGGGACAGACGTGCCAGCGGGATGGGAATTGCCCCAGTCTGGCTGGGATTCGGCTCCTCTCTGCTGCCAGAGGAGTGAATGTTCCCCCGACAAGGACACATGGGGGTGAGGAAGGTGATGCCAAGGATAAAGCTCTCCCGGTTGTGTTCCTTGGCTGGGCCTAAAGGTCACCCAAGATACAGGGAAGTTGCTCCTGGGCTTTGCAGTCCTGTTTGCCCTCCCTGCCGCGCCAGGGAACAGGTCCTGCTGCCCCCGGGGCCAGGGGGAACAAAAATAAAGGAAGCGTTTGGGCCAAGAGTTTGTCCCCAACTCCCTCCCTGCAAGGGCAGGGGCTCGCCAGGCCCATGGGGGGCCACGACCCCCCGGTTGGGGCTGGTAGCTGCAGGGGTTGGCCCTGCCCACACAGGTCTGGGATCACTGGGGATAGAGCTCTCAAAAAGGGGCAGTTTCCTCTGCAAAACCCCAAGGGCGGCAGGAATCCAGCAGCTGCCTCCCCTCTTCCCACCAGGAATGACCCCCCCAGGTGGCTGAGCCCCCCCCCTC